AATTTTGTAAAACCATTCTTCATATAAAAAATAATCTATTGTCAATTTTATTCGCCATTTATCTACAATTTTAGTCTTTTCGTCAAAATATCCATTAAATAATTCAACTAAAATATTACTTTCGTCTGAAAAAAATTTTTTGGGATTAATTTTTATTTAAAAATAAACGACCAATACTGTTTCCAAAGAAAAGAGTATATTTTTGAGTGATCATTACAGTTCTAGCCAAACCAAATAATTGTATAAAAATACAAATTGCTCTTTTTGGATCATTTTGTTTACTTTAATTAAAATATTAAATATGTATATCAAGTCCAAATCCAAGTTATTTCCAATCCCACTTAATTTCCAACTCGCAGTTAAATCCAAATCCCATCTATTTTCGTTGATCCGACTATATCTCTCTTAATCGGCCGAAATTACAATAAATCGCCTATGATCTTGTTGGCTTCGGGTGGAAAATCAACGGATAATATTATTTCGGGGATTTGTTAGTTTAAGCGGATCTCGAGAGATAACAAAAGAATGAGATGGATATCAAGGGATTAAGCGAAATTTGGGTTGATATAGTGTGATTTGGGTACAAAGCAGCAAGTATCGTCAGTAGACTGGACGAATGTGTTATCCATTACACCATCCCGCCTACTGGAACTAAATAGCTATATGCTTTACATCATTGAAATAAATTTTAAAAACTCTTATAATTAATTTACCCCATTTTTAAATAAAAATCTTTTCTTTTCTTTAAAAAATATTGAACAAAAACTATAAAATTTGTTTCTTGAATGGACTCTTCCCAATTTTCAATTATTTTTTCAATTTCATTATCATTTTTATTAGTACATTCTATTAAATTTTCTTTTTTATTTATTTTTCTTTTTATTTTATCTATTACTTCAAAATATTTATTTGATAATATTTGTTTTTGTTTTAACAAATTACAAATAAATTCGAGTTGTGAATGAGCGTACGTATATGACATTTTGTTTAAATCAGCTAGTCTGAATAAAAAAAATTAAATTTGGATGAAATTAGACAAAAAACTGGAAATCTTTTTTACTCATAAGTAGTTACCCCCCCCCCCCCAAAAGGTTGCACAGGTGTGCAACCTTTTGGAGGCGGAAGTTGGCAACATCAAAGGGAAACCCAAGGGTATAGGGGGTTTCAGGCGGTAGGATCAAGGGAAACCAAAGGGTGTGGGGCAATTACTCACCCCATTTGTCCGAGTTTGTCGGCATGATCAAAGGGAAACCAGGGGGTTTGGGGTAATTACTCATACCACTTGTCCGAGCTGTCAATTTTGATTGATTGACAAGGTACAAGATAAGTGACAGGTTTTGATTGATAGGTACAAATATTTGATGATGATTACAAGGTACCCCCCAAAATGTTGCACAACGTGCAACATTTTGGTGGGTACCAAAACGTTGCACGCTGTGCAACATTTTGGTGGCTGAAGCCGCAATCAAAGGAAACCAAAAGGATTTGGGGACAATTTTAGTTGACTTGGAGTGGAAAATTTGATTGTCGGGTACAAGTACAAGGTACTTGTACCTTGTACTTGTACAAGGTACAAATGTTTGATTGATAAGTGACACGTGATTAATTTGATTGATTAACTGTACAGGGTTTCAGTCCCAGACTAAAGTCTGAGACTGAAACCTGGAATTTCAGTCTGGGACTGAATCCTGGAATTTCAGTCTGGGACTGAAAAAAAGTTGGGGGCAGGGGTCCGGGGTACGGTAGAATTAAAAATAATAAAATTAATAAAAATAAATTAAATAAAAAATATTAATTAAATAATAATAAATGGGGAGAAATAAAATTTACAAAAATTTAAGAAAAAATTAAAATGATTTGCAAAAAAGGGCGGAAGTCAGAATGTAAGGGGGCGTTAACCAATTATTTCAAACATCTCAAGATCTTATCTAATTGACTGATGATTAATGAGTCTGGGGGTGAAATCTCGGTGCAGCCCGCGGAGGGGGTGGAGGAAGATTTACCTCTCTCAAGGTCATTTGCGGGAAAAATTATTCTTTTCGCAGTAGAATGAAATTTCAGTCTGGGACTGAAATATTTTGGGCTGGGAATTTCAGTCTGGGACTAAAATTTTTGAGTCTGAGAAATTCAGCCTGGGACTGAAATTTTCGAGTCAGAGATTTTCAGTCTGGGATGTAAAAAAAGTTGGGGACAGGGGTCCGGGGTACGGTAAAATTAAAAATAATAAAAATTAAAAAATATATTAATTAAATAAAAAATAAAAATTACTGGGAGAAATAAAATTTACAAAATTTTACAAAAATATTAAAATGATTTGCAAAAAAGGACGGAAGTCCGAATGTAATGGAAGTTAACCAATTATTTCGAAATATCAAATTTCGAAATGTCAAAACGACAAAATGCCACAACGACAAAATGCCACTCCAAAAAACGTCAACTTTTAGATTTATCTCTTCATCTAAAAACATAAAAAGTTGAACCCCTTCAATTAATTTATATATCTTTCAATTATCTAACTATTTTTTTACAATTATCGCTAAAGATAACTACAATAGATTCAATTAATATTACATAACATTCCAAGCTAAACATGGTTCATATAGCCTTTGACCCTAGAACAGTCGGTTACGACGACCATCATACACCTATTACTCAAATAGGGCAGGGCGCAGATGAAAACTATTACTATTTTCGCGGACTAAACCCTTATCAGCGTGGATACGGGAGACAAGCGGGTGGCGGAGTCGGAGATGTACTCAGAAATTTTTGGCGTTTCCTTCTACCGTATGCAAAACGCGCGGGTACAGCTGTAGCAAAGGAGGCATTGGATACTGGTGGGAGAATTTTAGAAAGTGTGGGGAATCCAGAGTACGGCAAAGAAGATTCTAACCCAAATTTTAAGCAAACAGTAATAAGTGAAGGAAAACGGGGTTTGGACAGACTACTTGAGAAAGGAGGATTGCCAAAACAATTTGGAACCGGATTACGAGCCAGAGGTAGTATAAAAGGACTCAAAAGAAAACGTAAACCCCATTCATCATTTTCAAAAGAAAAAAGTCATCAACTCATTATTGGCAGACCTCCATCTCTTACCCCTAAAAAGAAACGTCAAAAAATAGATACATTCGGTCTTTATTAAATAAAATGTCTACTCATCAGAAAATTGATCGCGATTCTGGCAACGCAATAACAACTGCTTTATCATTTTTCGAAACCCCCCACACAAATGTCAGTATTAGCAATTCCTCATTTATTGAATTACTCACACTCAACCCTGTAAATATCACCCCTTTTCATTTCAAAATTCATGCGACTACAAATTATATTGATCTGGCCAAAACTTATGTTTTTACTGAACTTAGGATTAAAAAAGAGGACAAAGATGGGAAACTTGTTGATATAGGAAAGGATGATAATGTATCGGCAGTGCAACTTATAGGTCATACAATTTGGAAAAATTGCCGTATGCATATTAATGGAACTCAGGTTTTTGAAGGGAACTCCCTCATGGCATACAAAAGTATTTTTGACTATGAACTAACCTACCCACAAAGTGTGAAGAACTCTTATCTTTCTGTGGCGGGATATTATGATGATGGACCCACTCAAACATATCCAGGGGTTGATTCTAATGGATATGGAGTTAAATCAAGGAAAAGATTATTCTTAGACGAAGATGGAAATCCGCGTACTGCACAATTTATGGCCAAACTGGATGTTGATATTTGTAATCAACCAAGATATTTAGTAAACCAATGCGAAGTTGATATTGAACTTTTGCCCAATGAATCAAGTTTCCTGCTTAGTGCTCCCTGGGACACTGCCCCAAAATATCATCTAGAAATTTTGGCTTGCAAATTATATGTAAAGAAGATTGAGTTGATGGACAGCCTAGCCTTTGATATTGCAAAAAAACTTGAAATAAAACCCGCGAGATACCCGATAAGAAAAACATCTCTGAAATCTTTATTCATCAGTGAAAATAGAACAGAATTTAATGCTAATCTATGGATGGATCAGGTGCCCCGAAGAATTATACTGGGAATGGTTGATAATAAAGATTTTGTAGGACGGCAAAAAACAACTCCATTTTATTTTCAACACTTTAATTTGAGAGATATTTCCATTACTGCTGGAGGAGTAACTTTTCCAGCAGCCCCTTATTCCCTTGATTTTCCTAAAGGAAACTATGCTAGAATTTATCATGACATGCAAGAAGCAATAGGGTACGCGGGATCACTAGAAAGTAACGGTATATCAATGTTTCGTTATGCATATGCAGGATATTGCTTCTTCGTATTTAACCTTACAAATAGCCAGGAAGATAATGGTCCAGAGATGTTTGATTTAATAAAGAATGGTACAACAAGTATACGGATGACCTTCAACGAACCGGTTCCTAGTGGTGGGATTGTACTAGTAGCCATGGGTGAAATCGATTCGCTGCTAATGTTAGATAGGAACAGAACTATTTCCACCGATATTTCAGTATAAAAACCCTCAATTTTCCTTATTTTTTCATTCTCCCATTTTTAAAAATGTGTCACATTACTATAAAAATTGAATTTTGCTTTGTTTGTTTCATTTTATTTTTCTTCCTGTATAAATTTACACAACAATATTCTATGTCTAATGAGGATGAACACCCAGAATATAGAGAAAAATTAAGAGAACGTATAGGCTATTACGCTAATACAATAACTCCTAAACCAGAACAAATGATTAATTCGTCTTCGACAAAATTCCCAATAATTCCACAAAGAGTACAAAATAGTATTGGAAAAGCATCTAACTTTAACCCCGAGAAAAATATTACAATCTTGGATTTTTGGTCAATGGAACACGTTGAAAATGTTCAATTTCCCTCTCCTTGCAAAGAATTTCCTTCATCAGAAACATCAATTGCTCAAACTATTTACTGTTATACATTAATTGCACTCTGGCTTTTATTGCTAGCAACAGCATTGACCTATCAACTGAGAAAATTTATAAAGATTAAAGACAACAGCAAAGACATTGAACTTGGGGAGATTCAAAGAAAAGATTCAAACCTCCACCTCTTTGACGAAAATGGACACTTTACAAATCGACAAAATCTTATTTCACAACAGAATAACTAGAAGACATTTTACTGGATGCTTTGCCGCAGATAAAATTCCACAAGAATTTCGAGAATACCCGTGCTCATTGGTCGTCAACCTTGAAAAAGCTACTCAAAGAGGATCACATTGGATTGCATTTTTTATAATTAACCCCGAGAAAATATTAATTTTTGATTCATTACTACTCCCCGAACCTCCAATTTCAATAAAAAATTTTATTTCCAAATTTCCAAACCGTGTAATGAATAATGTTCCCGTTCAAAACCCTCTTTTACCCACTTGTGGACACCATTGTATCACTTTTATTTATTTTATTTCCTCAGGATATTCTTATAAAAAATTCCTTTCCCTATTATTAAATCATTCAAACCCAGACGAATTTGTTTTTTCCTTTATTATCAAAATGATAAAAAATATATAATAAAATTTGACAATTTCAAAAAAGTTTTAAATTAAAATCTTATCATTCTGTTAAACATTAGGGTAATAATTACAGTTCCATGATCAAATTTAACAAGACTTCCGTTCATCCATCTTAGTTCAATTTCAATTTCGTTAATTTCTCTGGGTAACACAGGTATGAACATTGGTTGATCATACACTCTTTCTACAACACCTCCAGACCTATTCTCAACAGCCACAATTCTGAGTAATGAACTGACAGAATTCCCCATTATTACAGTGCTCGTTAACCCCTTTGAATATACAGCAAAGCTTGTAAACCCTCCTTTGAGATCAATTCCATATTTTCCAATTTGGCCATTTACCAATGGTCCCATGGGGAAGCCGAGAACATAACATAGTTGTGAAGAGATAACAATATTTCGAATCTCAGGATCATTAAAAATTACCCGAAAACGATCAATACTGTCCAAATATTCAAATTCAATGTCAGAATGCAAATCTTTTGCCTGAGATTCCTTTTCTTCAATCAAAGTAACTGTCTTCTCATTTATCAGATCATCGTTTCTTTGCTCATCCTTTTGCTCCTCAAATATTTCTTCTGTTGGTATAATCTCTTCTGAGGAATCCAAATCTAAAACTGGGCTTTCCCTACCTTTCTCTTCCCACCTTTCTTCTTCTTCTTCGAAACTTTCCTCATCAGGTACTGTATCTTGCTCTTCATCTATTGGTTGCTCAAGGGGTATAGGCTCTCCATATTTATCTATTTTTCTTGCATGCTTTAATTGCTCCTTGGTTTCTTTCAACTCTTTATCTTTTCTTTCATTTTCCGCTGACTCTCTGGCCTTGTCTTGCTCATAGTCATGTCTGTCCTTGACAACTTCCACCATTTCATCCGTAATTACGGGCGAAGGAATGGGCACTGGTTTGCCTTGATCATCTGTCTTTTGGGCATCTTCCAAATATTCTGGATGAGTTCTCTCTTCAATTTTTTGCATCTCCTTAATTTCATGTTTAGTCGGTGGAATTGGCAGCTCAAAATTTTTCCATTTCTTGTAGGCAGCATGGTGTATTGCTGTAAATCTATTTCTTCTGTAGGAAGCCAATTTATTTAATTGATCAATTTCCTTCCCCAGCTTATTCTTTTCTTCCTCATTTTGTTCTTGTGAATGGACATCTCGTTTTTCTCGAATTTGTCTATGTAATTCCTGTAGATCACCTAAATTTTTCTTTAACGCTGTCCAATGATCTACAGGGTGGTCCTCGAAAAATTTCTGGACAAATTCTGAGTGTGTATTTGAATTTTGCTTATTAAATTCATCTCTAGTAATTTGCAAGTCTCTTTCAATAATAGCAGATTCCAATGCTTCCAAATTCTTACGCATACGTTTTATTGAATTAATAAACCTCTGAATCTCATCACCAGAACGAGCATTCTTAACCCCCTCTTCCCTGCTTTCTCTAATTTTGTCTTCTAGTTCAATGTATCTTACTATTATATTTATTTCCATTTTTATTACTTCCTCGTGATAATCATCTGGGTGTTGTTCCAAAAACTGGTTTGCTATTAGTCCATCATCACGCCTATCCCTCTTATTAGCTTCCTCTGTTAAGAGACGAATTTCCTTCTTTTTACCTTCTGAAAGGGAATGTAGGTGATCAAGTTCTTGCTGTAATTCTCCCTTATGTGTATCATCCTTCTCATTAAGAACCTGTTTTGTTTTTTCCTCCACATCAGATTTATGTTGTTCTAATTCTTGTTCATAATCGCGTATGGCTTCCCAGTAATTGTGTGGATACTGATTAAAAAATTCCTTTACCCATAATGGCACAGTATCTACTTTATCTGCCTCTCTCTTTCTTCGTTTCTTAGCTGGATCCACTACTAAATTAATTTCTGGGTCAATGATAACTTCATCCTCCAAATTATCAATTGATACATCGCGTCTTTTCCTAGGTTTCTCTTTATTGGATAATACAAGTTTTAAAAAGAAGCTGAGTCCGTTGGGTGTTAGCTGAGTTGTTTTGGGGATTCCAATTTTATGCGGTTTCTTGTTTTTGTAATTAATTTCGATCCATTGTTTAACGTCTGTGCCAATAGTTGCAGCCCATGATTGGGGGTATTGGATACTGTAGAGGCCACATACCCAGTTTCCACCTTGAAACTCTATTGGTTTCGGAAGATGCACTCGATATTTATTGGGTTTATTATCTGGGTAATCACTAACATTACTAGGAAGAACAACAAAGAATGTATTAGCCATTATTTATTTTAAAGATAATAATAAATTGAACAATTAAAGTGAAAAAATAATTAAAAATGATTTATGGGAATGAAAAATTGGGCTTTTATACAAACTGGTTTTCGTCTATCCACTGGGGTTGGGGGTAATCAAAAAATTTAACAAAAAATTCTTTTCCTCCATCTTCTTTCATTCAGCTCTTGATAATTTTCTCAATTCTGTAGCTGGTATTCTCATCCTTCCTCACTCGGGTTAATTCCTCAGGGTAGAAATATCCTTTAAATACTTCCCCATTATCGTCACGGACACGGTATCTGTTGGGGTTAGCCTTCTTTTTGACAAGATCTATTTGAAGAATTTCATCGCTATAATTTGGGAGATAACCCTTTGAAAAAATATTTTTGTTTCTGCTCATACGTACATGATCATTTTCCTTAAATCGTGGGTTTTTTCTAGGTTTATTCTTCCCAATAGGACCAAATACCATTTCTCTAATTTCCTTTGCATTGTTAAAGTTTACATCAACCGGTCTTAATCCACCTAAAACCCTACACTTTGAATGATTTATTGCGTCAACTATTTTCGGTAATGCCTCAGTCCATTTTAATGTATGCTTCTCACTCATAAATCTGTACAGTCTCTGTTTAATGTTTCGAATACATCGTTCAGCTAGTGACGCTTTAACTGATGAAAAGGTTGCCGTGTATTTTTCAATATCTTTTTCTCTGAAAAATGCAATAATTTCCTTGCTGCAAAATTCAGTTCCCTTATCACTAAAAATACGGTGCGGGTGCATTTCCATTCTTGCCAAAATTTTTTCAAATGCATCAATCATATCTTTTGACTTTTTAGTGCGAACAGGTTCAGCGAAAACTCTTTTGCTTAACACATCGATTGCCACAAGCGCATAATTTTTCCCGTTGTTTTGCCGTGATAATTTTTGGAAATCTGCCAAGTCGCACTGAACGTCTGTCATATAACCAGACGGATTTGTTATTGATCTTTTGAAGTGCACGCGCCTAGGGCGGTGAATTGTGTAAGTTCTGTGGCCTTCCAAATATTCCTCAACTTCCTTCTTCTTAATACTTGCATCTTTTTTTCTAGCCTCTGTCCATAACTGGTTTACACCAGCAAATCCTGCCGGATTCGCTGGATCATTGTAAAGTTTATCTAATATCATTTCCACTCTGTTGGGGCTCGCCATTTTGATTCAGCTATTTCTTTCGATTCAGGTATTTTTCTTTTTTGCTTTGTATTAGTTCTTTTTGGTGTACAGCTTTCTCGTGCCTTCTCTATCAACGGCCAAATTTTGTTATCACTTTTTAATTTACTTTCTAAAACTGATGTCCCCGGTGGTGTCAACTCTCCCCATCTCAATTTCCCACTTATTCCTGTACGGAGAATACACTCTAGAGATTTTTGTGCATTGCTTCCCTGTATTTCTTTTCCTCCCTTCTTACTTAAAATCTTTCCATCTGTGCTCACATCATATTTATCTAGATTTTCCTGTTTCATATTTTCAAAAATTTCCTTTGTCTTTTCTCTTATTGTTGACTTCTTTGGTTCCATTTTCCTCTTGGAATCCGGAGATTCCTCATCGGCCGTATGCATACTAAGTTCATCTTCGTTTAAATCTCCACCTTCATTTAACGTGGACAATTTTGGTGTGGGAATATTTTGTTTAAGGACTTGTTGATTACTTTCTTTGGAGTCTGTTTGGAGGAGGGGAAGCAATTTTTTAATTTGCTCCAGGGCTGGATCTTCCATTTGCCTTACTGAAACATTCATTGATCTCTCATTCTGATCCTTCAACATGTGTAGATAACGTCTCAATTCCTGATTATAATTTATATTCTTTAATTCTGTGTTGGCATTTTGACTTTTGATATTTTCCAAATTTTCGCGTGTGAAATCCAAATTGATATTTCCAGTTTCCGGTATGGGGTGAGTAAGTAGTCCACGATATATATCCTCAGGAATTAATATAAATTTATTTGCCATTTTTATTAATTGCTTGTTAAAGTTTTTGTTAATTCAATAATGATTGGGGTTAAAAGGGCGGGAAACAATCCTATTGGTAAACCACTTCCTTGTTGTATTACTGTACGTCGGGCTCCTCCTTCTGTTTTTATCCTACTCACTTTACGAACAAAATCAGCGAATGGTAGAAGACGAGATTTTTGTCTCTTAGTTAATTTAAATTGATCACGTATAATATTGAAGCAAATTTCAGTGAGAGAAAGTAATTGGTCGATTGATGCTTTTCTTAAAAAACGTCTTCTTTTAGTTAGTGAGCGCGTTTTTGCGAGCTGTTTGAGAAACTGTAGGTTGTCCTTGACAAGTTGGCTAATTTTCGTTGACATCATTTTTAATTAGAGGAATTCTTGGGTAAAAATATAATTGGTAATGAATTGTAGGAGTCTTCTGATTCTTTGTCTGAGAATATATTTGTTCTTAGTCTAAGTGTTGGGTCTGATGAGGGGTGTAAATCGATAAATAGGTAAGAATAATTACTGCTGCTTGTAGCTTGTCGATATGCGTCTAGAAAATAATTTAATCTTCCTGGGAATAGTTGTACTCCTAGATTTCGAACGGCCAATGCACTATTTGGTGCGCGGGTTAATACAATATACATAGAATTTTGAAGTGCGACCCTGAGTTTTTTCTCGAAGAGATTCTGTGTGATGAATATTATGCCAAAATTAAGATGATGAGATTTCTTTGTGAAAAGTTCCGATAAATATTTTTCGTCAATTGAGTACATTAGGTCATCGAGGATGACTAGAGAGGGTTGTTGCTGCTTCTTAATAAAATCCTCAGGGGGGACACCAGAGTAAACTGAGACTCCGGCTCGCTGTAGTTCTGGAACAAGTGGGTTATATTCACCATAGCAGTAAAGAATAGATTTTGGGGTAGGGTCGATAAGTTTATCAGAATTTGAAATTAATTTTCGTACAAGTGTACTTTTGCCAGTTGAACTTGGTCCGCTAATAATACAACCAAATGGAAGTTTTAGTTTTAAATCTTTATTAGAAAATAAATGATAATTCATGTTTAAATTATTTGTTGAAAATTAAAAATATAAATAAGAATGATTAATGATTATGAGGGGTAATTGAATTATCGTTTATTACTTTTTCTTTATCGTCTTCCTTTATATTTTCTTTCGTTTCTTCGTTCTCTACTTGAGCCTTCTTCTGTGTAAACTTTGACAAAAATTCCTTGACACTCATTTGCTCATTACCGGTGATGAACTGTTTTTCATTCCAGACTTGCTCTTTGTGTAAAATATTGAAATTCTTCCCTTTCGACCGTACACGAAAGATACATTGTTGAGGAATTTCATAAATATGATCAAACATTACTACTTTTTCTGATTTTAGGCGGTTGCAATATAAGGTTACGTCCTTTGGAGTAACAATAAAATCAATGTCCACATTTTCCCCTCTGCAACTTTTACATTTTCCTGCCATGTCAAATTCCACAAAACGTGTGGTTATGAGGCGTGGTGACGAAATTGTCACACCAGTAGAAGATACCGTAAATAACACCTCAGGGAGCACTTTTTCCAAGAGCTGGCAATTATTTTCGATTACTGACATTTTTCAAGAAATTTTATAAATGAATTCAAATTTTTGGCGGAAGTTTGATCTTGGGGAGAATTTTTCAGTATTTATACTCTGACAATGGGCGTGGCCTCCGAGAATGTGATTAATTTTTTCCTAAGTTAATGAAAAATAATACAATTCAAAAATATTTATTTAGAATTAAAATGTTACAATTAATGAAATCAAAAATAAATAACAAAGTTAACAGAAAACATTAATCATTAATCACTTTTTCAATTTCTGTATATTCTTTTCATCCCAATCAGCAACAAAATCCTTGAGCTGCATATTTAGCTTCGCGCAGGTTTCGCATATTTCAAAGCAGATTCCGATGTTTCCATTTTCCTTCTGAGTGAATTTATTTTTATCATTGTAAAGCGCATTGGCACATTTTTTGCAAAGTTTAATTTCAATCCTAAGTGTTTCTCTTATGCGCACAAGTTTCCATAGAATACGCGGATTTATACTGTTACTTTTCTCAATTTTCCCATTCTCAACTTTTGAAGCAGAGGCTTTTGGTTTGTTTGCCTTTTCTTTTTCTTTTTCCTCTTCCAATTTAATTATCTCTTCTTCCTTCTCAATTTTTGGCTCATTAACTAATTCCATTTTTGGGATCTTTTCTTTTTTTAATCCGCTCATTTTTATTTATTTAAAATATTATTTTTAATGAATGAAGAAATGAATGAAAAGTTGAAAATCCTTCGCCTTATATACTCCTCCTAAGCTCCGCCCTTTCCTAATATTTCGAAATATCTGTCAGTTTTCAAGGTCAAATCTTTGGGTATAAAAGGCGAAATTTTCGTTCAACTTAACAATTTATCAAGTCATTCATCAATCATTCTAAATTAATCAATAAAATGACCTCTATTTTGGATGAGATTTCTAAAAAATTGAATTGCCCAATTTATTTGGTGAGATACAGATTAATGTATCAGGAAAATGCCGATTTGATCGCAAAATTTATAAATGAGAAAGGAAAGTTAGAGACAAATTATCCTGATAGGCGAGGATTATATAGCAGAGTTAGATGTGACGGAATTACAACTTCAGGAGCACATTTTGTCAAAGCCTTCGGTGACTTAGCTTACCCATTCAACATATCGGTTGCGGCATATTTCTTTTCTCACCACAAAATAAAACTACAATATCCGTTTCATCAATGTGTTATAGAAAGAACATGCACAAAGAATGGAATATGTGAGAGATACTACCCTCTAGAACTTTTATGCTTTGCCCCCACCTCGCCTCCGTCACCTATAAGTAGTTCAGAATTCGGGGCTCGACGTACACAAGCAACTTCGTCATCATCAACACTTACTCTCAACAGTATTCCATTATCCCTTGGAAGTTTTCCACCTACACCTATTAAGAAAAAATCTAGACCAGGGATATTGTGGATTGAAATAGAAGGTAAACCGAGCCAATGGGAAAAACGCAATGTTTTGATATTTTGTGATTAATTTATACGAAGATTTTATTTTTAGTACTTGTTTATTAAATAATTTTACATAAAAATGTTAAACATTAAAAAATTACAAATTTTTGAAAAAATCGATAATGTTTGAAATAGGAGGTTCGTATAAAAATCGCCATCTTGAATACATCAAGTAATCTGTTCGATTATGTTTTCCAGATTTGAACTTTTCGTCCCAAAGATACCAACGTAGAATCCAACGCCCCATATTTTTTATTTCACGTTTTCTTGCCAAGTCTGTTTTGTTCAGATGATAGATGTCCTTTACAACCCATTTCCTAAATAATCTTTCCCCAACATCAGCTTTATTCAATGATTTATTGCCTATTTTATCGCCTCGTTGAATCTTTTCTGAGTCATTTATATCTCTGCTAGGTATTATTGGTAGTGGTGTTCTCCGCCATATTGGTATTTCCACTGAATTATTTTTATCACTGTTAGGAAACATTGGTGGTGGTGTCCTCCGCCATATTGGTATTTCCACTGAACTGTTTTTATCACTGCTAGGAAACATTGGTGGTGGTGTTCTCCTCCATATTGGTATTTCCACTGAATTATTTTTTTCTCTGTTAGGAAATAGTGGGGGCGGTGTTCTCCGCCAAATTGGTAGTGGTGTCCTCCGATATAATGTAGTCACTGATTCTTCTCCCTTCCACGGTTTATCGTCAACACTACCTGCCAGTAATGACGGAAAAGTTATTAATATTATTGAAAACATTAACATTTTGGATAATGTATTTTATCAAATTATGAATTGCTTGTATTCTAAGTAAACTGCATTTATAAATAAAGAGTTTTTCGGTGAAATAAGTTTTTCTGTTAAAGGTAAACCGTGTAAACTTTCCAATAGGGTGTACTGTATACATCAAAAAGTTGTATACTGTAAGTGTGTCATCCATCCAATCATGTCATCCATCCAATCATGTCATCCATCCAATCATCTCATCCATCCAATCAGTATGTCATCATCACACCCACCAATAAGGGAAATCGTGGAAAATGTATATATTTTTCACCATTTTGCTGAATACATGTGTTTTTATCTTGACTTTGTATCATTTTTATCTTTTAATCCTTAACTTTTATTCAATTGTTTCTTCACATCCTTAACTTTTATTCAACTGTGTCTTCTATCGCTTAACTTTACATGTTTACCCCCAAAACCTGCATATTGCATTGCTTAACTATGCATAACTTTTATCTCTCATCTCTTAACTTTGAAAAAATTGTATCTTATAATCCTTAACTATGCATCAATCTTATCTTATAATCCTTAACTTTTTTCTTAAAACCCTAAAACTAATTAAACATTATAATAATTTAACAATTTATCTACAAATTTAAATACAATTTACAAAAACAATGTGAAAATATTAAGGTACACTTTATAAACATTGTGAAAATATTAAAGTACAATTTAAAAAAATTTGTGA